GTCTCCGCTGCTCTCGCCTGACGTGTTGCCGGCTGTCCCGCCCCCAGGTGCACCAGGAATGACGGGCTCACGCCCGACAACCCCGACGGGGGATGCCAAGGGTCTCGCGACATCGAGAACAGACCCACCCGGAAATGGACAGTTGCCACCCGACGGGCCGCCATCCGGGGTTGCCCCGTGTGACGGGCCAGCGGCAAGGATGCGCGCAAGAATGCGCAGACTCTTGTGATGAAAAAAAAAAAAATTCCCGTGTCATATTCACTGTGTGCTGCGTCGGTGGCGTGTTCCTGGCACATTGGATCGTACGTATGTTGTGTTCCTGGTGTGTTGTGTGGGTGCTGGGGTTCCCCCCTGGCACATTGGATTGTACATATGTTGTGTTCCTGGTGTGTTGTGTGTGTGCTGGGGTTCCCTGGAAATTGTATATACGTTGGTTTTACGGTATTCGTATTTATTCGGGGGTGGGGTGCGTTGGGTTGTTTTCCCTTCTGGCTTTTCTGGTTATTGTTGTTGTTCTCGTTGCGTTATGGCTCTAAAATTGTGAGGTACACGCGGGGTCAAAGGGTAAATAAAACTTTTATTGTTGATTGATGCAGCCGGGACGGCTGCGGGCTATGTAGGGGGGGGGGTGATGTAGGGGTGTTACGGAGGCCAGTATACATGGGATCACACGGGAAACAAACACAGTGGGCGGGGCTCCGTGAGCACACGGGGACGCGCTCGCAACGACGTCCGCACCAGGCAGCCTTGGGGGCTGGCCCGGAGTGTGATCCCCCGGGGGGCCCCATCCCTCAGCGGGGGGTTGGAGATAAAAGGGGATGAGCCGGAGGGCTCGGGGCAGAATGTTACAGCTAAAGGCGTGAAGACCCAAGATCATCTAGCTCGAGCCCTGGACTCCCCTGGAACGCCGCCCTTGTCAGGGCCGCGCAGGACCGAGCCAGCGGCGTGGTCCCGAGAACCAGAGTTAGTGCTCTGGGACTCCGGGTACCGTAGCCCGACTCACCAGTGTCAGGCCAGATAGCCTCCCCTAGCTCTTAGCGGAGGACTAGGAGGTAGGTTAGAGATAGCTAGCAGTGTATTCCCAGCTAGCCGGGTGAGGAGGCCGATACCCCCTCTAGTATTGTATGCCCGCGGTTGTAACCACTGTGCGGAATAAATACGTGTGCCTCAACCCGAGTGTCCAAGCGTCCTCAATGGTACTACACATGTGTGAATGGGCTAAGGCCATGAACTCACTAAAATTGAGAACCAAGTTTAATCACAGATGGCCCAACCCCAAAATAGAACTCAGAACCTCAACTGTTCCAACTCAGCACTCTGACTTTGCCGTAATCTGTCCATCTTACTTGAGTGTTTTAAATGTGGGAATAAATGACAATTCCCATTTGCAACCGAAACCACGTGTACCAAGGGATTACCGTATTACGAGAAAACACAGGGAAATCAGTAGCCTACTTCTATTTTTTTTAGATACTTTAGTTTCAATGTGGTGTGCTCATTGTATAAGACATCGTTTCTAAATGAATGGAAATTTCACTCATGGCAGAGTGTAAAAATACAAACTTTGAAAATATAAGCTAAATAAAATCACCTGCAAAGGAATGCAACAAAGCAGCCACAAAGGCCATAGTAGTTGCTTTGTGGATGAAATGGGGATTTGGTGACGCGATAACAATCCACAAAAGGGCATTGCGGACATCAGCTACGTGGGTCGTGAGCAACAAGATGTAGTGACTGTGTATGTCACTGTGTGGTGCCGGGCTTACGAAGCCACGGTGGATAATGTGTTGGCATTATGTGTAGCCCGCTTACTGCGCGTAGTACCACCAGCCCTAGCGGGGCTTGGGTGAGCAGTGGTCAGCAGTGGTCAGCGTGGAGGCACCACGTACAGTGTGCGGTGCGGGCTCCGGTGAGGGAGCGAGAGGGAGTATCAGCCAGCCAGGGTTACGTTGGGGCATGATACGCTGGTTGACCTGCCGACACGTGACCGGATGATATTGGAGGGGGGCCACCGGTGGACGGGGGCCGCTGGGCGGTCACGTGGTATAAAAGAGCTCTCAGGAGCCTTCGGGAAGGAGCTCGAGAGATCTAGAAGGTGGGCGGGGCGAGGAGCGGAGCCAGCCCCAGTCCGGGCGGATATAATGGTAGGCCCCGTGAGGGGCTCGGGGTTCTTCGTGTTGTTGGTGATGAAGATTCACGTCGGGTAAAAGAAGCCTCTAGCCTCGCGGTCCGGGACCCAGGTTGTGGTCCGGCGTGGGATAGCGAACTGTGTCTAGTTCTGCCGTAGCGTGGCTAGATGGGCATTCACACCCAAGTGTGGGTTGTGTTATGTTGTGTTGAATTACTGAATAGTGTTGCTCCCAAGACAACGTCTGTGACTCAGTTGGACTCACTACAAAAATAAATGGTGAAGCTGGAGATGGCACCGCTGGAGGTGGGGAAGGGTGTGGGAGGGTCCAAGTGCATTCGAGTGGGAGGCATAGGAAGCACCGCCTTACCTGTGTGGTCCGAGATACAGGGGGCGTGCGGCACGCACTGACGCAAGGGGCATGTGACGCAATGGGGGCACAGGGCAATGAGTGCCCCCCCCCCACCAGCGCTACACAACTGAAATAATTAATTAATTCGGAGTTGCCGAATGTGAACAAACTAGATCGTTCACACGCGAGGCATGGGATTCCCAAAGGCTGACACAACCCCTGATGTACAATATTAGTGCAGTTATGCAATGTTTACTGATAGAACATATGAAATGTTCGCTCTGGCTTTGTTTCATTTCTCAGGAATATATCCAACGTTGGAAAGTGGCCCTACGGCAATGGAAAGGAATGCAATTTTAAAAAGGGTCAAGGAAGAAAAAAGTATCCTTCAAAAATATATATTAAGCTGCCACCCATAGCAGCAGGATACTCATAAGATGTATTTCAACGGAGGGTATATGCTTTGCCAATGAATTGACTCAACACTGGTACAACGTCAGTCTCACTTCTGCGTGTCACTACATCCAACATGTGGGTGCATGTTCTCTCTCAAGGCAACATTTCAAGCTGCCTATTTTAAAAGGAATAATTCCGATACTGTACGCTTGAAACACCCAACAATGTGGATACCGTTCCTAACAGCTTAATACAAATGCGTGGGTTACGAGAGTGTAATCGTGGCCAAATTAAGGAGGTAAAATCTGCCATCAGGGAAACGGCTCAATGTTTACTGGTAGGGCATTTGTGGAAAAGTGTGCTGCAAAACATGATGTATACAGTGGATACAATTGCCTTTGACTGGACTAGAATGCTATATAATCCAAATGAGTAATGGCAAATACATTTAATGCACCAACTTTGTATAAAACCATATACAGTATACTTTACGCTTCCCAAAGAAAGTTTAAAGCGTGACTGCTGCATTTTTACTTTTGTCCTTCTGTCTCTAAAATGGGTTCACGATAAACTCTCGTAAAGATGAGCCAAGATGAACGAGAATTTAGTGTTAAGTTGTGTTATTGTTCTTCTTCTCGACGTTACCCTATTGGCACCCGGTCAATTTAATAAAGGGTTGCCCAATACAAGAACACTGTACAAGGAACGTATTTTGGAAGGGCAGCTGCCCACACTCATCTGCGCGAGATGCAGACGTGGGGAGCACGGACGTGAAAACGCAGTGGGGTAACAAACCCAATACTTCACATCATCAGAATATGTATTTATCCTGGAGGAATCCGATGAGCTATAAAGCACTATTTTCACAGATATCCAGTGGGGGTACGGGGTAAGAACGTTACAACAACCAATACAAAATCACGATGGTAGTGCAAGGCACCATGAAGGTAAACAAATCAAACCAAAAAACATAGAAATAGAACTAAACCACCCCCATCCTACCTGGCAAAGCCCACTGAGGTATTCACTTCGCTGCACCGTCCCTCTATCATCACACGCCCACCACATATGACCCCGCAGCCGATAACACCTGTTAGACATGATGGTCGCTCATCCAAACACAAACTCGAACCCGATTCACTTCCGAGACCTTAGAGTCAGATCGGACTGAGCCGACGGCGATTAACGGCGTCGATGTCTGTTTGTCTCATCATCCACTCAACTTCAACAGAGAACACCGCCACCAAAATAACTCACCGCGCACACGACTCACCACTCACACAACTCACCATTCACACGACTCACGACTCACCACCCACACGACTCATCACTCACACAACTCACCACTCACACAACTCACCATTCACACGACTCACCACTCACACGACTCACCACTCACACGACTCACCACGACTCACCACTCACGACTCACCACTCACGACTCACCACTCACATCACTGACCACTCACACGACTCACCACTCACACGACTCACCACTCACACAACTCACCATTCACGCCACTCACACGACTCACCACTCACACGACTCACCACTCACACAACTCACCATTCACGCCACTCACACGACTCACCACTCACACGACTCACCACTCACACAACTCACCATTCACGCCACTCACACGACTCACCACTCACACAACTCACCACTCACACAACTCACCATTCACGCCACTCACACGACTCACCACTCACGCGACTCACCACTCACACAACTCACCATTCACGCCACTCACCACTACATGACTCACCACTCACACGACTCACCACTCACACGACTCACATCACTCACCACTCACACGACTCACCACTCACACGACTCACCACTCACACGACTCACATCACTCACCACTCACACGACTCACCACTCACACGACTCACATCACTCACCACTCACACGACTCACCACTCACACGACTCACCACTCACACCACTCACTCACCACTCACACGACTCACCACTCACACGACTCACATCACTCACCACTCACACGACTCACCACTCACACGACTCACCACTCACACCACTCACTCACCACTCACACGACTCACCACTCACACCACTCACTCACCACTCACACGACACCACGACCAGAAATCCACTCACCACTTGTACGGCTCTCACTACTCGCCAGACTCACCACCCTTCGACGCTGCTGCTGCTGTTGTTGTTGTAAAATACTTACTGCTACAAAGTGAAACTGGGACGAACAGCCGCGCTCGCTGCCACTTCCTCATGCGCAGCGTGCGCTGTGGGCCAAGTGTCACAGATACAGCGGCACTTTACGTTGCGTGCAGTGCCGATTTTAACTTCTTTCGCACCATACGTAGCCAACCGTGCTCATCGGAGGTGCGGCGGGAGAGGGGGGGGGCAACAAAACTGAACACGAAAAGCATCGAAACAATGAAATTAGTTTGTCAATGTCGACTTCAAAGTGCACAGCTCCCAGTGGGCTTTCGAATATCGGAAGGGAGGGAGAGCGTTCCAGACGGCCGCAGGAGCGCATCTCGAAGCTCACAGACGCAGCTGGCCGCAATCTTTGTTGGTGGGGGGGGCAGCTTGTGTGGAGACACGGGGGGGGGCAGCTCGTGTGGAGACACGGGGGGGGGGCAGCTCGTGTGAGACACGGCGGGGGGGGGGGCAGCTTGTGTGGAGACACGGGGGGGGGGGCAGCTTATATGGAGACACGGGGGGGGGCAGCTTGTGTGGAGACACGGGGGGGGGGGCAGCTTGTGTGGAGACACGGGGGGGGGCAGCTCGTGTGGAGACACTTATCGTGTAGTCACTACGTCACTCGTCGTGTAGTCACTACGCCACCTATACTGTACTGATAGGAACCTCCTGGTTACACCAGCCCACAGGGGATTATTGTGTCCGTCCGTCCATCGTGCAGGGAGGGGCTGGGTGGGGAGGGGTGGGGAGGGTGGGGAGGGGCTGGTCACCCCGTGGTGCCCTTATAAAACTCAACGTTTAACCTACTCACGCCGGCTTGTGCCCGCCCTCACAGTCGGGCATATTTGCGGAATACACCACGCCGCCGTTGACCCTGACCATTGACCGAGCAACCCAACATTACTACCAGCTCCCTCCACAGCAGGAATGTGTTCATGTAGTCACTACGCCACTCATCATGTCGTCATTACGCCACTGCTCGGGGTCCAACCGGAGGGACTTGTGATTGATCGCTCATAATGAAGCATTTGGCGCTCAGCCCCCAGCCCTTGAAACCAGGAAATTGGTATATTTTTAAAAATATATTTACCAGAGAAAATACTATAGGGCATTAAATGTCGTGTTAATATGGGTGGTGGTGGGTGTGTTCACGTGATGCCAGTCTGTCCCTTAACCACATTTCTGCTCGCTTGCAACCACTCCACGCAGCAGCTTGTTAACAGAGAACTCGAGTTGGTTGGGGAGACAAAAAGTGAGCGGTAGGGCAGCGGTTATCGCTACGAACCTGGCCACCCGAGGTCGATTCCCGCTCACGGCCAACACCGGAGACGATGATCTGAACCGGTTCGGGCCTCCCCTAGGTCGGCTCAGTCTCAAATGAGTACCTGGTGCGGTGTGTAAAAACATCGCCACTGGGGAGACAAAGACGGCCGGGCGCGGTGCTGGTAAACCACCCCCTCTCGTGTGCCGTGCCTGCCTTCATAGGTGTTGCTCGCTAACAGCACTTGCCCCAACAGTCTGTTACAGGCTATACGGGGGATCTTTGTCTTTGTTTGGTGTTCGTGTGATGCCATTCTGTCCCTTGACCCAATTGCTGCTGGAGGGCTTGCAACCACTCCACGCACCTTATATATATCCACAGAAAACTCGAGTTGGTAGGGGGAAATAAAATACGGGTGGCGTTTCCACTTTACTCGCGATATCGCGGGGGTTGGGGCAGGAAATAGGCAGAATCCTGTGCACCTGTTTGGTGATACGGTATATTTCTCAGGTCTGCAAATGACGACAAAAAACCATAACGAACAAGCGCAGACCAGCAAATCTTGTTTCAAACAGGATACAAGAATGTGCAAGAGCACAAAGGCTTTGTGCATATGCAAAACACCATCAACAATTACGGAAGTACATTGCATTCCTTTTGTCTTGAGTGGCCATTTTTGAGAAAACGTGACGAACTGCAGAGGTGGTGTGCTTTTTAGACATTAGTTTGTGGCAAAACATTGGCAGCATACTCGTTTCGGAAAAACCAGGGCTGTTAAAATAGTGAATTTTCATTGTACGGTGAGGCGACCATGCACACTCCTGGGCGATGATGATGGTTCTGCGGGATGTTGCGATGTCACTGGGGATAGTTGTGATGATTGCGACGGTTGCATGGTCCAGCCCGAAGGAGTCACTGATCAGACAGAATGAGTAGGGATGTGAAGGAGCGGCTGCTCCCACAGAAGCTTGGACACGGCTCCACAGCGACGCGAGATCTTGGGAGGTGGGGGGGTGCTGCTCCTTGCCACCTTGCACACACATGTAACGCCCACGCTTACTGTATTCTCCAGGATCATACAATCCTGTGTTTCAACGTTGGCACGTCAGTGTTATTCAATATGTAAACCACGTGTCAATGTTCAAAACAGCATTTCGCAAACTCTGGTCGTACACCCATGGATGATGTCAGTCTCATTGTATGGCCATTGTCTAAATCACAATAGATTGCTCGGGAAGACACTGGAAGGAACAATCGATAATGCATTTGGTCAACAACCCGACACTCCATGCTGCAGTTTTTCAGCCACACTAAAAGGGGCCTTGGATTTAAAGAAGTTTGAGAAATCGGTCCCAGTTAACACTTTATTCAAATACAGAAGCCATGACATTACATACATTAGGTCTGTGTGATTATACAATAGCCTCAGGACATTTTCCATTAAAATTAGTTACGTAAAATAATGAATGAGAGGTTTTTGTAGTAACTATTTGCACGGTTGACCTGAGTTTGATTCCTAGCCACAGTTAACATCAGTAGCAGGCGATATCTGAACCCATCTGGGACCTCTCTCATCAACGGGCACTCATTGAGTAGCGTTGTAAAGTTTGGTTTAAAAAAATGTACCTCTCCAATCACTCCGAAGGCATCATGAGGCTTTCAGTCAGCAGTGGATTTACCAAGGCCTCTAAGTTATCACTGGTGATTATCCACAATTATGCATGCTCAATTAAGTTTTTTTTTGGATGGCCTTCATCTTCGTGACCCTCAATTGGATCAATCCAAGTGGGCTGGTTCTGGGCTGCCCTGGATCCCTTTAGCAAGGGGCAGAAGATGGAAGCACTGGTTGCTGTTGTTCACCGCTAGTTTTAAATGATGATGTCGGTAGTGACGATCTCTTGTTTTTCATGCAGCCAGTCCCGTGTAGGTTTAATGGAGACGCTAGCCGAGCATTGAGCACATATTGAAGTTGCTCACTTCTTGGAAGATGAAAATATATACGTGCCGTTATGTAAAATTAGACCCAAGATAGACTTTTTCCCCAAGATTACAAGACCAATAAACCTAATTCATGCACAGAATGAGACCAGTCGTAGTCTGTAATACAAACAAACCAAGATGGTTATTCACAATTATTACCTTAGCGTATTCATAATAACAGCTTGGCAATTAAAGTAATCATGCATCATCTTTTGTAGTTGAATATGAACATAAATGCTCTAAATATACTATCTTGGTGGCTAACTTACAAAACATGCAGTGTTACAGTCCTGTATGAGGGAGTAGTGGCACTGTAGGTTAGGCACTACACTAAATTAGATTCCTGGTTATGACTACTATCAATCCACACTGACCAGCATGAAGTATGGTCAAACTATTTAAAGTGAGAGTGGGCATTCATATTGCATGGATTGATAACTGGATATAAATTATTACTTTATATTATTCGAAATGAAAGTTGTCATGCAGATAGGATTTATCCTTACCTGAGAATATTGCCCATGCATGCCTCGGTCAGTCACAGCTGGAGGTACGCTGTGGAGAGACAGGTTGTCAAGTTGCACTTGGTTCATTCGTTTAACCAGTATACACTGACACAATTTGTTGTAATTTAATTACAGAGGATTGTTTACCATTTCAAAAAAACACTGTACCAATTTTAATTTAATATAACCAGGAACGCCCCGTTTCAATAGAAATCGATACAATTGGGCTTAAATACATTGTACAATGTTTTAACATTGATTTGTGATAAATATATTCCTTTTTTGTTACCACAGCAAAAACAGGGTAGCTACAGTGACTTGCTAGACTCTCAGACAATCCAGATGTTGCTATGCATTTATCCCAGTTACTCTCAATCGGGTGCAGTTGTGTTGAACATAAGTGTTGAATGCATCTCCCTTAATAATGTCCTTTTAATAGCGGTGATGGAGCCCAGCGGTAGGCACGTTCGCCTCTTGTTGCAGAGGTTCACGGTTTGAATTCAGCGGCTGCCATTATTATTACTGTGGGCATAATAACTGCACACCATTTGTTTTACAGCTGATGTTAAAGATACCCCCTGACGTCTCGGGGTCCCAATTTAAAATATACCTGCATATTACTCAATTGGCACTGAACATATCAATCATTGCCCCCCTACTGGCAGACTAATACCAAAGATCACTGTTGCGTATGAGACCATCCTGGTCTCGAGTTCTCACCTGGTGAATTTTTACTTCAGTGGCCCGTGCCCGTGCCCGTGGTGGCCGTGTCCGTGGTGGCCGTGTCCGTGGTGGCCGTGCCCGTGATGGCCGTGCCCGTGGTGGCCGTGCCCATGGTGGACTTCATGCACATGGTGGACTTCATGGCCATGGTGGACGACTTCGTGCCCATGGTGGACGACTTCGTGGCCATGGTGCCCGTGGTTGACCCCAAGCCCATGGGCGACCGTGTGGAGGAGCCCAGAAAGCCCTCCACTATGGGCCCCGTGGTGATGGTGGCCAACTGCTGGCACATGTTGATGCACATGGTGATATACTGGGGCTTGTGTGTGGTGGTTTGCATGGGGTTGTGGGTAACAGACTGCGTTGCTTTGACCTGGATGCCCAAACATTTGCACTTGGGGATGTGCTCCCGGAGCGGGTGCTGTGCCAACATAGGTATTTGGGGAATATGCATGGTTGGCAGGGTATCCTGGCTGGGGATAACCCTGCACGTATGTCGGGTATGGGGAGTTGTGTGCATTTGTTGGGGGGTATCCTGGCATCGAAGGAGCACTTTGATTACCTGCAAATATACATTAATTGATTAAATCAAGCCAGACTGCAGATGATGAGAACATTTATGAAACCAGTCCTGAGTTTGCTTGTTCAGAATCAATGTTGGCATTACGCACTCCCAGAAGGCCGTGGGGCCGATTAGTTGTGTAAAGATAAATTGTCTACTTATATATTTGGTTACTTATATTCTCCACCGATTATTGATTTGATTTCTAATTCTGCTTTCATGACTACTCAAATCAGAACTTTTGCGACTATATACGAAACATTTACATGCAAAGGACATCAGAATATTACTGTTAATGTTCTAATATGGATTAGTTTTCCTGCAAATTTGCATTGCTAATCTATGACAAGCTCCTATTTTCATTACACAAATTAACCTGAATGTGTAAAAAACCTCTAGGGTACCTCCCGACAAGGGAAAAAGCTGAAATTTGGTACATAGGTATATTTTTGACAAAGGAATTTGCTCATGAAGCTTGACAAAGGCTGTAATCATGCGAGTGAGCAATGTGAACACACCACCAAAATGCGACGGTGGTGAGATGTTAACTACCTCGCCTGGTATACAAGAGGTATCGGGTTTGATCCCGACCCTGACACCTGTATATTTGAAGTTTGCGTGTCTCTCCCCGTGGTTGCATGGATTTTTCTCCCTCCACATTTAGAAACGTGCGTTTAGCTGCCACTTCGTTGAGCCATCATTTGTGGCCAGGTCGCTTCTGAAAAAGCTATATAGCTCAGTGGGTTTCACCAGGTTAAATACAACGTTCAATTCAGTTTGCTGTACTTAACCAAGGCAAAGCCCCCCCCTCCTCTTCTTGCCAGGGAGACAGCACCAACCTTCCTCCCACCAGGAATTATTTTGAGAAGTCACTGGCAAGTTCCAAGCGTGAGATTTGGTCTATCACACAGGATGACCCCCAATACATCGCTAACCATGAACAGTCAACTAGAGGGCATTAACGTTGACCTATTTTCTCCCAGAACTCTATAGTTGATATGAAAAAAACTCGATTAAGAAAATAATAGTGGCATTACCGTGGAGGCTTTTCCAAAAATACTTGCGGGTAAAATTCCAAGACTAACAAAAGAAAATGTTAAATTAAAAAGTTAAATTAAAAATGTTCCCAACGCATACATGTTTTTATTGATATGTTCGGTGATATTATTTCCCAAGTTCTGACTTGGTAAATTTGGCCCACCCCCTGACATAAAATTGGTCCCGAAAATTCAGTCTCCATTACCGAATATTCAGTCTCCATTTCTCGAGTTGTGCCTCACAGAAACAGGTACATTCGTTTATATTCCGTGTCAATGATTATTTACATCTTTGACATTCTCGTGGTAACAGACAAATCGTGAAGATTGCCGGTTATTGAAAGTAAACGTTTTTTAACCAACTGAAGAAAAATGTATTACAAGTTTAATCTGGGTAATACAGTACATAACCTTGAGCCTAACAAGCGTCGTTCAACCGGGTGAGCATGAAGAAGCCTCACATGCAAGTTTGGCGACGTTATATCAGGTAAAAATAGCACAGGTAAAACGGCACAGGTCAAAATGACACAAGTTAAAACTACGAACAAAAATGGCACAACTAAACGGGTTAGAGTTAATCATCTCTTTCATTCAGATCAGTACGTACGTGTTAGTACTTCTGTTAGCACAGTACTTGTAACTGTGAATGCCAGTCCCGTTTGACGGTGCCTTTACCCCCCCCCCCCCCTAGTTCACTTGTGCCATGTTTACTTCAAGATTGTTATTTGAGTCCAGTGAACTCTTTAGGAAGCCTGGATAACTCACTGGAGACCACCGACTCTCGTACTCAAATCAGCACCGTGTTCTACTGACCTCCACCAACTCATCAGTCGGATCACCGCAGTACTGCATACAACATACCCACCCATAGCAACACAGCACACGACTCCACAGTGGGCTGCACGCAACTGATTGTCGATCTGTATTAACAGCACTGACCACTCGTTTTGAATATAGTTGTATTTGTATATTTTCATAATCAACGTTCGCGAAAGCCTACGTGTTAAACTTTGTATATTTTGTTAAATTTGTATTTCCTATACTTTGAACTCCTATCGTGTTGTTGTATCGTTTGTCGTTGTAACGTTCTGACCCGCCTCTATAACTGAACATATGTGCAAAAGCGCTTTATAGCTCATCGGATTCCTCCAGCATAAATATTCTGATTCTGAATAACAGTAATTTCGAGTACAGAAACACCAAAAACAATACACAACACCAGCTATAATTTCAGGCGGTAATCATACGATCTCTCGTTAAATGCTAATCCAAAGTTAACGTGTATATTCTGTATAAGTATAATCCAAAGGGCCGGCAACCGCTCAACGTGACTGTCGTTCTAAGATGCCTGCGTGCGCGAACCTTGCAGATCCGTACCTGCGGGAGGATTCCACATGGTCGCAGGCGAAATGTCACAACCGGAGAGACGATGGGGGAGAGTCTTGGGAAGATTCCTTCCTGTTCTGCTTCTCTTCGCCCTTCCTGTTCTGCCTCTTCTCTTCAGCCGCACTGGAGGAAGTGTGGACCGTGCTCATCACGCGCAACCCGCGTCAATTGTCCCCTCCCTTCAACAACCGGTTTGTCCCGTTCAAACATCGCCCGCATTTTTAGAGTTCTTCTGTGTCCTGAGTCAAGCCAACAAGACAAAGATCCCCCGTGTAGCCTAGAAACCAGACTGTTGGGGGCAACTGCTGTTAGCGAGCAGCACCTACGAAGGCCGGCACGGCGCACGAGGGGGTGGGTGGCCAGCACCACGCCCGGCCGCCTTTGTCTCCCCAGTGGCGATGTTTACACATCGCACCAGGTACCAATTTGAGGCTGACTCGACCTAGGGGAGGCCCAGGACCGGTTCAGATAATCGTCACTAGTGTTGGCCCGTGAGCAGGAATCGAACACGTGTCGCCAGGGTCGTAGCGCAAGCCACACATATTCACACCCCCCCCCCCCCCCATGAATAAAGTGACATTTGCAAAAAAAAAGCATTGCCACGTCATCGTTTTCAGCTCCTGCTGTAATATAACAACACAGTAAAATGTTGATTCATGCGACAGCGAACTTTATTATACATTGCACATGATTCGGTGATGCTGCGTTGGCAGTGGTTCACAAGCACAATGAACTCACAATGGTTAACAGTTACTGCCTTAAAATACAATACCTTTGGAACCTCATTTGCCAGTAAAAAAATATGATAATTGGTTTTTTACCCTTCTATCTGGCAACAAAACTGACACTTTTTTTTACAAGGAGTCATGTTTACATAGACTACAATACCTGCAGTCATAATGCAAACAAAAAACATAACTCTGATAATGTGCACTGTCCTTGAAGTTGATTGGTCCACACCCGAGACAGCTTTCCTTAGAGCCTAGTCTCACATGGGTTGGACCAGATGACGCCAAAAGGCGCACAACTCAAAGACAATGCACCATCAGAGTATGAGAGCTCGGGGTAAGCATTTACACCATTGGAACCTCATTTGCCAGTAAAAAAATATAATAGTTTTTTTACCCTTCTATCTGGCAACAAAACTGACACCTTTTTTTACAAGGAGTCATGTTTACATAGACTACAATACCTGCAGTCATAATGCAAACAAAAAACATAACTCTGATAATGTGCACTGTCCTTGAAGTTGATTGGTCCACACCCGAGACAGCTTTCCTTAGAGCCTAGTCTCACATGGGTTGGACCAGATGACGCCAAAAGGCGCACAACTCAAAGACAATGCACCATCAGAGTATGAGAGCTCGGGGTAAGCATTTACACCATTGGAACCTCATTTGCCAGTAAAAAAATATAATAGTTTTTTTACCCTTCTATCTGGCAACAAAACTGACACCTTTTTTTACAAGGAGTCATGTTTACATAGACTACAATACCTGCAGTCATAATGCAAACAAAAAACATAACTCTGATAATGTGCACTGTCCTTGAAGTTGATTGGTCCACACCCGAGACAGCTTTCCTTAAAGCCTAGTCTCACATGGGTTGGACCAGATGACGCCAAAAGGCGCACAACTCAAAGACAATGCACCATCAGAGTATGACTCCTTGTAAAAAAGGTGTCAGTTTTGTTGCCAGATAGAAGGGTAAAAAACAAATTATAATACAATATCTGTCAACCCATACGGTTTTCTCCGTATTTTTGTACAGGGAAATTGCGTTTTCAGGTCCATATGGCGTACAGCCGTTTCAATACGGGCAAAAAACATGTCTTTGTGTTTCTCCCTTGTGATGAGACTTTGTAGGTTGAACGTTGATATTTATAAGGGTGACCAATAAGGTCTGAATTGGTCTGTTAAGGTAGGCACTGATAAGGTGTTGACTGATATGAAATACAAAGATAACCTGTGGCCGTTTCTGGCAATTACCCTTCTACGGTATCCCCCCCCCCTCGATCACCATGAAAACGGAGAGAGTGAAGGATAATGAATGAGAGATCATGGGGGTCAGGGTCATTATCTAAAATGTCGCCGATTATATGTTTTCTTTGAAGGCGGTGTTGTTGATGAGTGGTGGGTTCTGTTGATAATTAACCTGTAGTTTTAGTTTTCATGAGAAAAAAGAAGCTACAGCATCTAAATACGAACAGGTTAACGTACTATACTGTTTGTTGATAAGGTTTTTGGTGGCCCACAAACTGCACTATTCATACTCTAAGTGGCCCTCACCCAGTGTAGTACAGTAGAATATCGTCCAACTACGTTTGCATTTGATATTTGCAGTAAAGCCTACCACTTGCTACAAACAGGTGTAAAGGTCACATCTAAAGAGACCACGAGTCTGCTTGTTGTTGAATCAATGGACTGATAATAGATTTTTTCCCCCAATAATGGTGTCATTGTCTCCGTGGCTCCAAAAACAACACGAAGGTGAGTTACGCCTTCTCATGCTCGGGGCATCACAAAAATAGCAATGACTCAGAACCTGGAAGCTATTGTAACTCGCTCACCGTGACTTCCCAATTATTCTTTCATACATATGAATATCAGCAGATTAAAGATTGTATTTTAAACGAGCTTTACTACCCGGCTTCGCCCGAGACTTGGATTCTTGTATTGGATTAACACACGGCCCACGCGGAGGGTGGGGGGGGGCGTGACGTCAGCAGGCACACTGCGTAATGCTGCCGCGTGCGGGTGACATCACAGATGGGACGTCATCACAGATATGACGTCACCACTCACTTGCCGTGAAATATATTATATCTATTATTGAGCCCGCCCGCCCCCCACAAATCTAAGTCTATTTTTATACTTTTGCATTATGTACAGTCTGGAAGCTACCCACATGCCAAATTTCAAGTTTGTTGCATGTCGGGAAGTTCGCTAAACATTTCGAACAGACACACATTCACAAATTTCCCTTTTATATATGTAGATGTGTTAACCACCCAATTGTCTGTTCTTATACAGAGTGGGTCTCATCCATTCCTCCTTTAAATGAGTCAAGGCAGCAGCTGTTTACAATGTGATCGATGGTTTGGGATTGGTGGCCGCACTCGCATCATTTGTGCATCACTTCCCAGTTTGGGAACGTTGTCGTGTCCCTTATGCTTACACTGCTTAAACTGATGCTGGAACGAGCCAGACCACGAGGGGCGCCGGGTGCCCAACGGAGGCAGCGGTCGTCAGCTGAGGACAAACAGGGGCGGGGCGGGAGCGCCTGAGGACACGGGTGGGGGACGGGCGGGGGTCACGGTAGGGGAGGGGCAGAGGGGAACTGGCAGAAGTTGTCATGGCAATGGGCCGTGAGTGACAAGGGGATTGAGAATGGGTGTGACGCCCAGGGGATGTTATGGCACAATGGGGCATGGATACGAGGTGATATCATAGAGCAGTTGGTTCTTAACTTTTTTTTTGGCTATTGTGTACCCCCATTTGTGGAATTTTGTTTCAACCGAGTATCCTGCCCCCCACCTTGTCTGACTTGACATGGTTCTGAGAAATAAATGTATGAACATCAATAGCTTAACCAATTGTCAATTTTGCGTGGTATATCCTAACTATCTGGTAACTGCAAGTGAATTAAAACAATCAACGGATGCTCTGCATGCATGACATAATTTGTTTGCGCTCGCTGGTTACATTTGGAAACCACATTTTTACAATGATTTTAGAAAGGTATTTTATATCGTTGTAGGTTACCATATGGATTTAAATTGTATCGTAGTTATTTTATATTGGCAGATTCATACATGATTATTCACCAATGACTCATGGATGATATTTCACACAATTGTAAATAACCTCACGTACCTCCTGGAACATTGCCACATACCCCCAAGGGGTCCGTATACCGCCTGATTGAGAACCACTTGACATAAGAGGGGCTAGGATGAGAGAATAAAAGCCGCAGGGACAAGAGGGGTCCCAGAGCGGTGTGGAGAAGGGAGAAGTGGTGTTGAGGGCAGAGACAGAGATTGTGCGTCAGGGCCAGGGCAAGACGAGAGAGTGACCAGGGTGGGAGAATTTATTAGTATGCCGTTCCTTGTGATATTAGGAAGCCACTGGAAACATGCACTTTTAAATCAAGATTGAAAACTCATTTCTTTAGAACTGCTTTTTGTGTTTAGTTTTGTTGTCCTTCCCCTGCACCTCTGATCAGCACGGTTGACTACATAATATACCTGGGCGAACGGGAGATTGAGAGTCAGGCAGGAGATTCATGTCACTGTGTGGAAAGTGGATGTGGAGAACCCGAGTGCTGGACGATTCAAATGACCTAGAGGCCAGGTGGACAATGTGTGGAGTTGAGTAGTATCCAAGTGTGAACCGTGAGGTATATGTTGAGAAATAGGCTGTATTATTTTCCCTACATTGTTCATGGAGCTCGCACGACATAGACGACCGAGTTGTCCCTATCCATTGCAGGGATGCTTGTGTCACTATGGTACTTACTACTGCCACATGTTATGAAGATTTGAGGTGTTCAGATTGAGTCCAAGTGATTTGACGTGAAATAACCAGCAGGAGTATTGCCAGCAACACCAAGGGTAATACAGTGACTTGTGTAAGGGTTACCTTTTAAAATGAATCATGTACAAAGCTTACTTTAATACGTGAAAGAGTAAGCATGCTCGAATTCAGTTAAAACTGTGTGTAAATCACATATTTCTTAAGATGGTGTTTTTTTTTCATAAAAAAACTAAGTGAGACCTTGCGCACCTAGGTCAGTATAAGGCTGTGATTTCCATGGTGATTGAAAATGCAACCAGACTCAATGCGTTCGACATTTTACCTTGTAAATGGCATCATTTAAGTGCGTATGCGTAATGTCGTCTGTGCGTGTGGCGTGCGTCGCACACACAGTGAGTCGGAGACGAGGTGGTCACAGGGGGTACCGTTCTGCCCTCTTTATTTGTTGTTGCCGAGCTCACGCCACCACTCGGGCCCCCCCTCCGTTTACCACACACGATCCCGCTGCCGTGCGCCTTGTCACCGACACGACCCTGCCCGCGTTGCACTGATGGTGTCGACCGGGACAGCCAACCAGTGTCCGGCCGCGCAATGCCCAGGCGAAGGCACCAGCGACGAGGGCGGCGACGACGACAG